AGCTAAAAGTGATAACTCCACTGTAACGTGTCCCGCTCTCCTTCCTGGTGGTTCAGACAGATAATAAACCAGATTCCATTTTGCCTGTAAAGTTTCAGTGGAAATAGATTTTACTCTTTCTTTGTTGATGCCATTGTGTTTGCATATTGGGAGCACGAGGTTATATTCACATCATTAGTCTCTCTGCTTGGATCCAGGCCCGATAACTGCCTCGCCATCACAGTTCCATTCACTCCGGTTCTAAAGGTTCCATAAATTGTCTCTTTGCCTTTCTCACTTATGCTCACTCGCACTCCTTCCGCTGTTCCCATGAGACACGGCGTAAGGCTCATTGGCCACCACACACACGCACACAGAGGGGGTTCTCTTTCTCTCTACCCACCACCGCTGGGCTTACCCAGCACATGCATATAGAGCCAGAATGCCAATCTCTACCTGCACGCCGCGCTCAACTCCCCCGCTTCAAGTCGCAATACCCTACTGAGCACACAGGGTTAGCTGAATATTCTAGGAGCTTTGAATTTTTCAGACAGGTCTGTGAACCCCCCGTGCGTCACGTGGTGCCATCACTCACACGAGGGATTTGGATTTTCAACATTGGTCAGCTGGGTCATCTGGAGACCCCCAGGAAGGGTGTGAAAATAAAACATTTGAATAGCTCCTCTTGTTTTATGGCCTTTGGTTCATCTGTAGTCTTGGGTCCTCTGTATGGAACTGTCCACTTCCTGTCTTTATGGCCTTGCAATTTCCCATCCCTCTCAATCTCGTTCCTGCTGCCAAATTCATCAATCAAAGACAATTTTTTTCCCCAAAAGTGCTTTTTATATCTGCAATGTCACGCTTCTCACACTACTGTCAAAAGTGGTGACAGAGCTTTAAACTGCTGGTTATGCCCTGGTAATGCATTTATCTACTGCTATAATGCACTGTAGTCTCTGAAAAGGATCAAATATGGGATGTGAGGGAATATGGCTTCTTGCTGGAAGGGGGTGAGGTGGAGGGAGGCGCTGTATGGTAAATGGAGAGGGAGTGAGAAAACATTTTCATCTGCTAACTCTTTTGCTCTAATATGTATTCCCAGTGAAATGTCTTCCTAAGTAGGTCAATGGGATTTAGAAAGTTTGTGGTGTGTGTATTTTTTTTTCTTTCTCGTGCTTCCTCTTCTCCCTTTATACTCTCTTGTCAATGGGAAATGAGCAATGTGATTAGACATGGAATGGTGATGATTTAGTGAGAGCAAAAGAGTGAGTGACTGAAGAAAAGGAAATGAAGGCAAGGGGGACAACAGAAGACTTGCTAAGATTGGGGCCTCACTCCGATCCTTCGTCAGCTGATTGAGAGAACTATAGACATAAAAAGAGAGAGAGAGAAAGTGTGTGTCAAAGAGAAAGGGGAGGAGAGATTTGTGGATGTGCCTCCAGAGGCAGGGAGTGACTGAAGTATCTTCATCGTGATATGGAAGCAACAATCTAATTATACAATTTCCCCAGGGAATTGGCGTGTGAGCGTAATGGATAAATAGAAAAACGTAATTATTCTCCAGAAGTTATAACATTTGTACCTATAAACAAGATAGCCATTTCTGTGGCCTATCAAATTGAGCATGGCTTATTATCAGCTAAATTATTCACTTAAATTGTATGTAATATGAATACGGGTTTTCCAGTTATTCCATTTTTTATTCCACTTGTCAAAATATAATGAGTTAATTTTGGTCAAATGCAAATGGGCCTCCCCTGGTAATTTGCTGCAGGGTTCCCGCAGCTAAACCCACACCATTGAATGTGATTGAATGTTACAATTAAACGTGCTAATTCATTGTCAAAAGCAACTGATCTATACACATGATATATTTAGAACCTAATTGGAAAGCACTTCTAGAAATGGTTTCTTGACTTTCTACATCACAGCCCAATCAGAAATTACCTCTGCCCCCGTAACAGCTTTGGGTTGAATATATAGGGTCCGGCTATTACAAAGGGCGGAAAGGGTGAATTATTCAAATGCTAATTAATGTTTTAAACTCAAACCCAACCTGCAATTGGCACACCACTGCTCTGGCTCTTACAAATGACTTCTTTCAACATTCACATTTTCCAGTAACTTTATCCTGATATTTCATCCAATCAATTCTGCAGCAATGGTGCTTCTTTCACCCGTGCAGCTACAACCAGCCTGTGTGAGTGTGGAAGATGGAATCCATCAATACCAGCAGACAGCCTGTGGAATTACTAATAACTCTTAGCAGGGAATTCAGGTGCCCATGGGCTGTGCTGTTAAATCATGGGAAACATCCTTCAACTCTTTTTTTTCTTCTTCTTCTTTTCTGTTTTTGCTCCGCATTTTGTCTCGGCCACACAATTGTTTTCAAACAGCATATTTGATTTTAATCAGTTTATACAAGTTCCCCTGACAAGTTGCTTATTACATCTGTGGAGTAAATCCTTCATGTTTTGTATTCGCACGCCATCGCTTTGCAGAGATTTAAGGACCACCAGCCCCCTCTGACAAAGCCTCAGATATTGGATGAACTTCATTAGTGTCGAAGTAGTGTGAGATGTGGTCACAACTTTGTGCTCGATGCCGCCTGCAAAGAAGTTCTTATGCAAGCAGCGGCAACATTATTCATGCTTTCACAATAGCTTGTTATTCATCATAAGACAAAGGAGAATCTCACTCAGCCTGACGTAGATGGAGGAGGGCCACCAGGGTATTATTCACATCTGCTGAAAACAGTATGCACAGCCAACTGCATGTCACGATACACCAGGCTTATTAATGCGTATAAAGTCTCCCAACTCAGAATATAAATGACAGTTTCATACACAACAGAACATAAATATTAATTGTGTTATATCTGTGATATATTGTGCTTAGGGAGATGCCTCCGTTGTTTATTGTTTCAGCAACAGTATGCATTTTATTTTTTTGAAGAGAGAGCCAAGTCACGTGCCACCACAAGGTAGAAAACAAAAACAACTTAAAGTACCGTATCCTGTTGAAATATTGTGTAATCCATAAAGTTGCCACAAGGTGACACTGTGCGTCCATAACATTTTCTGATTCACTCCTCTGTTTTCCTTCAGAGAACTTTCATTACATTTAAATTTAAAACAACAAAACCGTCCAAACCCTGTTACATTGCTGTATATGAGACAGACTTGAACATGGCAGTAATCCAGCATCCAGCACAGGTCTGTCTGGCTCAAAGATCTAAAGTGCATTGTTCAGCACTCAATAACAATAATCCCACCTGAGCAACACAGGAATCAGCAGAACGCCTCCAGGAGGCTTTTAGACTTGTTTGGTCGCTTATCTGCAGGAGGAGGGAGTTTGCACAGCTGTCCGCAGACCACAAATGGCATTCCACACTTTTCCTTTGGCAGGACATCTGTTGCTTTCAGCTGGCATCCGTTCTACCTCATCTAAAGAGTAGTCATACAACCTTGAGCTATAATAACAGCTGAGATAAATATTGCATTCTGATGTACAATAGGTGTTTACCTGTGCGACAGGTGTTGAGGTCAAGCGTTTCTTTTAGTGTGACCACTTAAAAACTGATGAAATTCACCCTCTGATGTGGTTTGCTCTTCCTTTGTTTTTACAGTACAAAAACAATAATTTGATATAATTTAATCTAATTAATTACCTAACTCCAAATGAAAATAACTCTGTATGCAGTTACAGTGCTATTATCTTTCTTATTCTTAATGACATCTTAATAGCTTAAAGTCTATTCCAATGGCTTACTATTTTGCAATGTTGCATTTCTGATTGCCACCTAGCACCATGTACCTTGAACTACATTAATAAAAATCTGTCCAGTCCTATAAGTACAGTAAAACACAACAGTACAAAAGAGGTACAATTAATGGATGAACAAAAATATAAAAAAAAAGGTTTGTAATGTTGCATCTTTGATCCCCATTAAGCACCATGTACCTTTATCACAACAGAAAACTCAGGCTGCCAGAATCAGCAAGTTTAAGAGCAATGTATACCTTGGGGTTCAAAGTTCAAAACACCTTAAAAAAAAAGTCTGTTGTCATCTAGTTGCTACAACATGACATCCTACTCCAAAAGTTCAGCACTGCTTTATAGAAAAACATAAATTCTCGATTCTCTTCAGGTTCCCCAAGCACTGACTGACTGTTCTCCCTCAGGACATTCTTCCGGCCCTGTTATTGCCATGCCAATGTGCTACATGTTTGGATTCATTGCAGAGACTGCCAGTAGAGAATAAATCTTCATGTCACAAAATGTAATCACAGCGGTCTCTGTTGGTTTCTGCCCCTATCCGCACCTGTGTTCCTACACCTCCATACATAAAACCCACCTGTCACCCTGGAACTACAAGACTACACATGCATTTGTGAAACACTGCGAAATAAGACACGCGTCTGTCTCTCCCAGGAAGATCGTAGAAAAATATAGGTCTTTAGACTAGTTGAGAGGTTCTGGCAGTCTTTCAGCTCAGGTTTGTGTATACACCGGGCAGGACAGTGCTGTTTGTTTTAGGACCTGGAAATTATTTACAGAATGTTCCCATTAAACACAGTGCCCTTGTATTGGTTTGTTTTTCTACATCAGTGGCAGATGAACAGTCCTTGGGTCCTGAGACACAGATCTCCAGTAGGAGTAAAACATTATGTATTAAGGAGTGTCAAACAATTGAATGGTCAGTGGGCAAATTCTTGGTAAACAGTCTAAATTAGCTTTAACTGATCCAACTGATGTTAAGTGACAAATTCTAGGCATAAAATGTTCTTGTACTGCTATACGCTTGGTTCCTTGTTGCTCTTTATTTATGTCATACATAATTATTCTCTTGTTCCTTCCTGTTATTGCAATACTTTGAGTTAGAACAGACTAACACCTGTTATTCATTATTTTGCATTTTTTTAATTTTATTTTTTTTGCATTTTTACAATGACATATTGAAAAAAAGTGCTCAGTATTATTTTCTTGTTGTGAAATGATTTGGTCTGTTTGTGGTTAAATCATCCATGGTTATGAGACCCCTGTGTCCAGGAACTTCTTTTTTTTTTTTTACTAATCTGTAAACATAAACATGTTTGTATTTCCTTCAGTCACTTTTTGTCAAGTGCTCCTCTGTGTTTCTTGATGATCTCTGCATATTCCTGTCCAGACTTGTATATTGTACGTCTCAGCTCAGGGTCACAAAAGTCCACATGGAACAGTCCGAAACGAACACTGTAGCCCTCTGCCCATTCGAAGTTGTCCAAAAGTGACCAGGCAAAATATCCACGGACATCCACCTCATCTTCTTGGATGGCTGAATGAGAACATGAATAAATAAACACCTGTCATTTATTTCAGTATAATGAGAGATGATGCAATGAGCCACATTTGTTAGTAGAGAATGACACACACCCCCTGCTTGGTTGTCTAATTATACTGTGACCACAAACATGATGAGTAACAGTATGAGCACCAGTTCAAAAAGTTTTCTAAATTCAAAGAGCAAGATTTATGAGCCCCATTTAAAAAGGCCTGTTTTTCTGCTTATCAGCTGTTAGTTTCCTATGGATTAACATAAAAAAGCCAGAAAACGGCACATTTTATTTGTAATTACTGATTGGTTATATATCCTTAATTTGATTAGATGTCTTGACAATAAAAAATAACTGCTTTCTGATTATTATTACATTGTTCATTTTAAATCACCATCACATAATTATGGCCTTTTTCATGGATTTTTCACATGCCTAACATTCCCACACTGACCATGTGGTGGTGCCAAAGCAATCATAAACATTCGGTCGTTTATCTGTTAATGCAATCCTTTCTGGGTCACAGGGAGCTGGAGCCAATCTCAGCAGTAGACACTGGATAGTTGACCAGGTCATGTCAGGGCCACATATAAAAACAAACTGCATTTGCACTCACACTAGTACATAAAGTCAAATTTAGAGTTTCTTATATACCTAATGTTTTGAATTCACACAAGGAGAATGTGCAAACTCCATATAGGAAGTTCTTCATCAGGCTTACCATCAGGGATCAACCGCTGATGAGACTATATATCATGTTTCCACTTATATATTCCCATGATACTTTGAATGTGTGTATAATACACACAAACATTTCAATACACTTGTCCAGTGAGTTGCAAAAAAATAATCCTTGTATTCTGGGTTTGTAATCTACAATACACATACTCCTTTGTGGTATGACTAAAATCTAGTTATGTGATAATGTTTTATTTACTTTCAGTTAAATGTTTTGTTACAGTTTTCACATGACTTATTTAGTTGTTGTTTTCCCCCTCGTGTGCAAATAAATAAGCCGTTACCCTTTGCCACCTCCAAGATGGTGTCCTTGTAAAACACACAACGCTGGACATCCTCCATCTGCAGCGGCCCCATTTGAGAGAAGCCGTTCTCTGTGATATAGATTGCTGGGCTGTTGAATGTGTCCTGTAAAGAAGCCACGGGGTAAATATTATTGTCAAACAAGGCAGTGCAGCTGTCCCACAATTCAGGGAGAGACAGATCTGTCTAGAGTGTGTTGTTTAGCTGCATTTCAACAGTGCCAAGCACAGATTAATGGGCTGTGACAAGTCACAACAGCAGGAAATTGCTCGTTTGCAAACACTTTTTAGCTACGTAACAGTTTCATTCAATGTGACAGCACTAATGAAGCATCAGCGTGTTTCTGGGGGTGTTAAAAGAAGATTACTGCATACAAAATCAATAGCAAAACACTAAACAAATGTCAGAGTGTGCTTCTTGTTTGGCTGAAGGTGATTTGTCTTTTTACTTAATTCTGTTTGTTGGTAAATAAGTGAAGAAAAATGACTTAATATTTCAACTGATTGAGTCCAAATGTAGTAACTAGTGACTCTATGGAGTTCAGTTAGATTTCAAATATATAACAGCTGTGCAGGGCGTGGGGGGATGTAACTGGTATAAAAGAAATAATTTCTACCTTAATGTACTTCAGAAGTTTTCTTAAACCACCAGGCACTACAGCTTGCCAAGATACTCCAGAGATGAGCCAAGAAGGATCGATTATTTCTTCCACATCACAGTCACTCTTCATGGACATCTGTCCAGCACCTCCTCCTGCTTTGACTTTGCGTGACGTGTAGTAGTTCACTGCAAAGAAATCAGCTGAGCCCAAAATGCCAGGTTCATCCTTCGAGAATGTGGGCAGCCTTGGGCTGCCAACGTAGCCCATCTTCTCACTTTGTGAATCAATGGCAGATCTCATTATTTCTGGATAATCTCCAGACACAAACATGGGCCAGGCAAACCATCCAAGGGTAAATGCAAGGTCACGCTCTGTAGCAGCAACATCATCCTCACAGTGTGGGTCTACTGGCTCCAGCCAGTCACTGTTAATAGCCAGAGACACTTTACCTTTCTGCTCTGACCTGAAGAGGGTGTTGTAGCTATGCCAGGCCATGGCATGGGCACGCAGCATGTTGTGGCCCACAAGGTAGGCTGCAGTCCCCGGTTCTTCTAAACCTGGTGCATGTTTGCCACTTTCATAGCCCAGTTTGGCACAAACACTAGGCTCATTGACAGTGAGCCACAGTTTAACTCTGTCTCCAAATGTTTGGAAACAAAATTTGGCATAGTTGTCAAAGATGGGTGCTATACCTGCACACTTCCAACCACCTTGGTCCTGGAGAGCTTGAGGGAGGTCAAAGTGGTAGAGTGTGACCATAGGTGAGACGTTGTTGGCAAGCAACTCATCAATGACGTTGTTGTAGTATTCAACACCTGTTGTTAAATAAAAATAAACAAACACTAAAACCAATTAAGTTACCAGTTCTTATTTTGTATATGAGACTTGATAGGAAGGCAAATACCTTTATGATTGACATGTTGTGTGGTCCCATGAGGCAGGAGACGAGCCCAGGAGAAAGAAAGTCGATAGTGTGTCAACCCAAGTTGCTGAATACACTCAAGGTCCTGCTCCCGTAGCATGTAGCTATTACAGGCCACATCACCATTGTGATCTTGAAACACTCTGCCTTTATCATGACTGAAGGTGTCCCAGATACTTGCTGCTTTCCCGTCTGCTTGCCAGCCTCCTAAACACACACAAAAAGAAATATATTTTTATGTAAATGTTCCCATAGAAAATTAATTTGTAACTTGTTGCCAGGCACACTAACACTTTTTGTGCTGGAAACGTTTTATGGTGCAAAAAAATCTTGGTATAATTATTGTTTTTAATAGCATTTTTGGAAACTGAAAAATGGGTTAGTAGAAAAAATGTGGGTTGGGAGGCAGACACTTTTGAAACCTTAATCCATTAAAACTATTTTGCATTCTAAAGTTGGTCCACCTAAGTTCAAAGACATAAAACTATATGGGCTCAATAATTAAACTGTGTTGCAGCTGCACATCCAATATGTTCTAAAACAAAATCAAAATCAGGCAAAAGCTAACTATTTTGTGTACATGCAACGTTTTTTTTAAAATGATAATTAAAATAAATAAATACATTTAAACTACACATACTGTATACTGTTATGTTCACCGTACCTTCGATTTGATACGCAGCAGTTGCAGCTCCCCAGGCAAAGTCGCGTGGGAACATGTTTAAATCAAAATTTAAAAATGTTCCCCTTTGGAGTTTTCTTCATTTTCCTCGCAGTCTCCCAGGACTCCTCACAACTTCCGGGAACGTACCCGTCAATTTTACTGGGCAGCTATATGTGCCGTTAAAGGACACGAAGTAGTCCGATAAACGTACTAGATTGGAAGTTACCGTGGTATTAACGTGATTTTACCTGTGTGATAGACATTAATTAATAATAATTCAAACTGATTAGAATCATTCAAATTTACTTGTAAGTATTGTTTTGATAAAACGTAAGTTTTTGCCGAACTGCACTTGAATGTAACACAAGGAGTTCTACGTGATGACGTTTTTTACAATTGTGGACGGCAAATGCTCAACGTCTCCGTGCCATGTTAACAGTTATTGAAATTTTATGTTTTTTATAATTAAAATAATGGCGTTATTGTTTATTAAATGTGATAATCAGATTTAATTAAAAGAATTACATCTTTGGACATTTTTAATTCTTGCTAACACTTTTTATTACATCTTTCGATTGTCATAATTAGGCTTTGAAGTACAAAATTTAAGCCATCAAGTAGTTGTTATTGATAAAGAAATTATGTTATTTTCCATTCAGGTCTTTGCCGCACAGCAATAGCATATAGCCACGTCTGCTAACTCCTATTAAGAGAACTCGTGTTTGAGTAAATGCATTTAACCCAAATATATGTCCGACTTGACCTTAAATAATTCACTTTAGTGCTGTCCTAAGGCCTCAATTGTTGTACACAATAGTAAGTGGCAAGAAAACTGGTTGCGACCTGCAATCTTTAAAAAAAAAAAATCAAAATTAAATACATCAGGACTTTCAGTCTAGGAAATGACAACTTTATTCTGAGCATCTCTGCAAGAAAACTAACATTTAGTTAGAAAACTAAATGTTGAGCAAATAATGGTCAATAATGTTGTACTAGTGCAATGTATTTTTTATTTGCTGTACATGTTTGTCACCTAAAGAAACACGTGAAGTGGTGTTTTACATTATAGTAGCCAATTTAAGTCAAAATTGTTACTTTTGCGTCGTTATGTACAGCCACTTTACTTACGTTCAACTTGGCGGAAGTCACTAAACTATACGTATTTTATTTTTGAAAGACAGATCGGAAGTTCTCCAACTACCATCGGGCTTTACAAAGCTAATCCAGTCTGGGGCAGGGCCATGGGAAGAGTACTATTCAATGGAAGGAGTTTTCTTGAATACTTTAGAAAGACACAGGGAAAGTAAAGAAGAAACAACCTCTGGGTATTTTTCTTTTATAGCCTGTGCCGCGCATTTTACTTTGTTTACGCTAGTACTTCGAGCTTCAAATGTTTTGTTTTGAACTAGTTGTCATGTTATTACAGATAAAAAAGGTTCAATTGTGTTTACTTCCGTTTAACGTACAAAGTACTTTCGAGGCTGATTTTCGTTTTTCCTTTAAAGGAAGCTTAGTCGGGTTCTCTGAGGTTAATGAAGGGAACCTGGGATGAGTACAACTGCACGCTGTGGAAAATACAACTGGGACTAGGAGTCACGCTTCAGGCAACAAAGAAAACCTCTGAACAACTGGAGAACTTATCAACAACCAGCGAGTAGAGCTAGGATTTAAAAACACGCTGGATTAGCATACCTGAGAGAAATGGACGCAGCGCCACAGTGAGAATGGAGTTATAAATGAGTGGTTTGGCGAACAAAGAAGGACACCCACACGAACACAAACACCTCTGACGGACAGAGAACCGCCGAGAAGAGAGGGCAAAGGACCGACAAAACCCCGTGCGAGAAATGGAGGAAGAAGGTTCACTTGAACCTCGCAAGATAATGGCAAATCTCTTCTTTTTATAGCAAAGCCACTCACTATCTACCCTGTTCCCAAACCTAAACAAGTCTCCCTCCATTGCCAAATGCTGCGGGGCTTTTCCTGTGTGTGAAAATGAGGGTGGATCTGTTGCTGTTGTTTGTAATTTTGCTTCTGGGTGGCAGCCGCGGCGGCGCAGGAGGATCAGCGCTATCGTCTGATTGTAAACCTTATGATGAACGCCCCAAAGGCGCTGTGAAGAGTCTGTCCACCGACAGGAAAGTGGTGTGCAGCAACATGGAGCTTCATCAGGTGTTGCCCCCGGAGTCCTTCCCAAACAGAACAGTCACATTGTGAGTATACAGGAGCTGTCCTTAACTTCCACCCTGCACTGGTAAACACATACAGAACGAGACTCTTTCTCCCGGAAATTTAAAATGTATAATTATTAATCACAATCGCCCAATATATTCATTTGTAGTCATAATAGTTAATTTGCAGTTCCTGCCATAGCTTTTCAATGTCTTGTAGAATCCCCTCCTAAGTTGGTTTGACCTGATTTCTTCTAAGACAATAAATCCAGATTTTAAAGATGAACGTGGCACCATGCTGCAAGGTTATATTCTTGTCCAATGACAGACATATGTCATTCTCTCACAGGTGCATACAGCAGGATTGTAAATATAAACCCTATGTAACCCTAAACGCCTGTCCTACTGTAGTGATGGAAGATATTTTAGCAGCCACACCAGTACTCACTTCTCAGCTCACACCACCTGTAGATTTGGAATCCTGCTGGTGATAAAATGTACCTTTTTTAATTACTGTATTTTTTATTCTCTTAACTTATGCAGTACGAAAAAGCATACCTACCAATCCCAAACATTTTCAATAGGTTGCTATTGGAGTCAGTGTTAGAAGTGTTGGAAGTGTCAGTCTTGAAATTAAGAAAGGTGAAAAAGAACCGCCCTCCTCATCAATATCCTCAAATTTAATTAGTTATAAGAAGCTCAGATTACAATACAATAAACTTTATTTGCTTTAAATGATTCAGATTATCATGAGGTTTTTGTAAATAGGGTATTATTCACATGAAATCTGATTTAAAACACTAAACCATTGCCTGTAAACAGGAAAAAGAGTAGAAAGGTCATACAATTACTGTGATAAAACTGTCCTCAATTAGTTGATGGTACTGCTTAACACCATAGACTTTTCAAGGTTTGTCATGGCCCAACAGCTTTTGCTAAACTTTGTCAGAGAACCACATATCTACTGTGAACATGTTTTAAGGGTGGAGGTAAGGTCACAGGAAAACAAAGTGATGGTGTGATAGAGGTTGAATTGTGCTACCACATAACAAAGTTTTATTTCATCTTTTAAAAGTGCACTGGCTTCTGTAGGAAGGGTGAGCAATGACTTTTAGTAAATATGATGAATATGCTGTGTTTCTGCTCTAAATTTTCCATTGTGAGTAAAGACAAAGATGTCTTTACCACTCTCCTGCCCTCCTGTGTCCATGAAGGTCTCAGCTAATATACAAGGGGTTAGATTTAGCTTTTGCCCCCTATGAAGACTCTTGGCACTCACTCTGTACTGATGTGTGTTTAGTATAGTGTAGTATAGTATAAGTTTTCTGCAACCATTTTCTTCCTACAAACCTACACAGATAGATCAGGAACTGACTGTATTTAAGCCCTGTGTGCTCAGGTCATATTACCTTAGCAGGGCTTGTTAAATATAATCAGGATCTATTCACAGGAACACCTGGGTTGCCTTGTGCAAATAAGCACACCTGGTTCAGGTCGGCACTGAGCACCAGAAGATTAATGTCAAGAAGAAAGCAGGGATTTCCTCTGTTGCTGGAGGAAAGACATACAGAGTTTGATGACGCATGGGAGTGCAGTAAAGGGACTTGTTTTACAAGTGTGCTGTGTGTGTTACATTTACATCTGGTATACTTGAGATGTAGCTTTCTTCAGGTTGGGTTTGTGGGAGACAGTAGGGCTGGAATTCAGATCTAAAAACATAAAATAGGAATGTGGGATCATTCAACACATATGCTTAGTGTCTGTTGGTTAAAGCTACAGTGTCATGCTTTGAGTAAGTAGAACATAAGGGTCTGCTGTCATGCATATCACAGTGGAAGTTGTTTCTGTTGCCTTACAGATAAGCTTTTGGATGTGGGGAATGCTCCTTTGTTTTATTCTGTACTGTACGGTGTTTGCAGAGGAGAGCAAACTCCCAGAGGTGGGTCTCTGACAGCTGCACATTTAAGTTTGCATGCTTTCATTTCACAGGTCTACTGAGCTTTGATTTTGCCACGATGTCCCTGGTGTTAGTTAATCACAGGCTTGCCATTTAGTTTAATTTGTAGACATTATCTCAGACTGGTTGATACCTTCTGGCCTGTCTGTGTTCATTTATCACTCATCTTCTTTCTTCTACCCTGCTGTTTGCATGCTGGGATCATTGGATCATTAAGTTAGAGACTGTTTCTCTTTAAAAGCCTGAGCTATTACTTGATGACAAAGGATGGTGCAGCAGCTACTATTTATAAGATTAAAGAACCGAGTGCCTCTATGACGTGGACATATACTAGTCATTGCCCACCCGCCCCCACTGCCTTTTGAACACCTTTGATTATTCAGTTTCCAATCTTTTAGCATCTACTAAAATATACACAGATCAAATGTGTAGAACAATAAAGTATTAGATAACTGCATGAATCATCTTGGCATCATTTCTGTTTTTCACCTGAGCCGAGGCCCACTTTTCCATCCACTATTCACAGAAAGTCACTTTAGAAGGATTTTTATGAGCTCAGCCGACGCTTGAAAGTTTTTTGAAAACCTGTTGAAGACTCGCAACTCTGGAGTTCTTTGTTCTTTGTCTAAAAGCCTCCTAAGCATAAAAGAAGTGTTGAGAGCCTGCTAGCCAGCTTTGTCCTTAAAATCCTCCGTGCCAGTGAGGCTAGGGTATAGTGCTTGGCTGTTAACCCCCCAACCCCCTCCGTCTCTTTACTGGTGCCTACAGCCAAGTGCTTACAGATTCCTACTTGGGTGTTTTAGTTAGTCTATTTAAGTGGAAAAAAATCTCACTGGAGTCCCTTCAATAGTGTCATATTTATTACTTAGTTAGAAGGCAAAATGAAATCTAGACCAGTGTATTAAAAGTCATTGTCATTTACTCAGAGTAGAAACTCAGGTTTCAAAACTAATGTTCCCATGATTGTCAGTTTGATTCATGTGATAGGTAAGGTCACACACACACACACATATATATATATATATAAATATATAATATAGTTTGACTCAAACTATCGTTTCTGAGTTTGAGTCACTTTATATGATCCTCTTGCAGGTTGTCCTTGCCTGGAGCTGGCTCTGTCTTATCTATGCATCAAGATAACAGAGTCTCCTGTCCTATATAGTTTCAGGCCTAACCTCAAGAAATTCCTGACAATTCTCATGTCTTCTGACTTAAGGCTGTTGTCCAGAGACGGACAGTCAGGAAGCAGATGGTCCTATCTACGGACACCCTGAGGTGGAGACACTGGTGATTAAATGGCCATGATCTTCATGCTGGTCTCCATGAGGCTTCACCATGTCCCTTGTATTTTGAGCTGTGCTATTGCTTTCTCACTGATGCAATAGTGTAAGCACATATCAGTTGTGCAGCCAAAGCAGTTTGCAACATGCAGAGGTCACACTCCTGTCATGAGGGAGAGGGAAGGATGGGGAGGGGTGGAACAGGGGCAAGGAAAAGGCTCATTATTCTCTGGAGGACTGTGTTTCACAGATTTATTTTGACAAGACTTGGAGTCATGGGGCCAGAAAAATAATGTGCATCTGTGCAGCCAAACTCGCATGATACCATAATTTTTTCCTGTAAACTCAATTACACTGCAGATGGGCCATAACACAAGAATTCTGCAGTTTTTCTTTTTTGTGCTAATATAAATTGTCCTCACATTCCATGGCACATGTACATTCAGTTGAGGACAAAAATGATTCCCATGAACATAGTAGCTTCATTTAGGGAGCCCATCATGTTTGGATCTATCGTTTCTGAGTTTGAGTCACTTACCTAAATTCTCTATCTCTATGCATCTCTATTGCCATTCTGTTGCATGCCATTTTCGTCCACCCTCGGTTAGAGAGCTCTCATGGTAAACTCATCCACTTGGTATGCCAAACATTTTTCTACATAAATGAGACTTTTGTGACCGGGATGTTGGACTGCTAAGCATTTCTGTCTAAATCATCAGCTCGTGTGTGCTCAAGCAGTGATAAAATTTGCAGTCATGTAACACTACTTGATTTGAACATCTGCCGTTTCTGCATCCATAAGGCTGCAGAACCCAAGCAGGGAAACAGGCTGTGTTTGTGTGTGGACTGTTGCTCGCTAACTCCCTGAGCGGCATAGAGCCAAGCAGCAAATCTCCAGTGAGTCTCTTCTGTCCAACCCTGTAATAAAACAACCCCTCAACACCCCATAATGATTCCAATCTGGCCTGGGGTTGTGGGTGCCACTAGCATGTATGTCACCCACCACATCCCCTCCCTGGCGGCCAGAAAACATGCTAACCACAAGGCCCTGCTTGGGCCTTGCTTTTCTGCTGGGAGTTAACAGCACAATTGATTTTCCAGATCTCCTGGGAGTAGCTTAGGAGAAAGTCTTGAACTCTCAAAGGCAAGGGCACACAAAGTGAGTTCAGCTTTTCAGCATAGTGCCATGAATTAGTCTGTTTTATACATTACTCATAACAAGGTTAGAGAGGCAGCCTCAAAACTGCAGGAATAATAGAGAATGTTTCATAGTTGGTTCATACCTGGGTTTTATTTGTTACCTTCTTTTTGTCTTTCTGCCATTGAGAACAGCTGTATAGAGCAGAGTTATGGTGTCAGAGGTCTTTGGGAAGGATCACTCATTATCTCATTCTTTCTATGTGAGCATTTAATGCTGTCATTTTAATGTGACAGATGATTGTTGGAAGAAGTTCAACTTGTTTTTTTTGTAATCCCTTTCTGGCAGCAGGTGATATTCTGTGTATGAAGGTTGAGTTCAGCTGCAGAGCATGGTGTAAATAAATATCTTTATCTGTAAACATGTTTTCTGAGGTTCACTTCCTTCCGTGTTTTTAAAAAGATTATTTTGAAAAGCTCACATTTCATTCACAGTAATTAACACACATTTCTCTTATCTTCATTGTCATAAAATATTTTGTATTAAACAGTAAAAATAGGCCTATAATAAACTTGCATCTCACTTCCATTTAACTTTATATTTCATAGAAATAACAGTTGTTTTTATGCTCACAATTAACCTTGCTTTATTTTCTCTTCCCAGAATTTACAACAACAACAACATTCAAGAACTCAAAAATGGATCCTTCTCTGGCTTATCTACATTAGAAAAACTGTAAGTAGTATTTTTTTTTATTTCTGGAATGGTTTGCTCTGAATCTGTGGTAACAATCATACCTATACTGTCTCCTGTTCACTGTAAAGTAAAACATATGTCCACGTTGACAAGCAGACACATAGGCTGAATCTATCCATGAAAAATTACGTACAGGCTTGATGTTACAGTCAAATACCTGCACGATATATCATATTATATCCAGCAGTGCTTTAGCAGAAGGCATCCATCACTCCACTCGTGAAGCTTTCACTTCTTGGGGCTAACGGTTTGTAAAACACGTACTGGCCTCATGCCAGTGAAACATCAAGGTCATAGAAAATGAAAAGACTTTTAGAAAGCATTTGTCTTTAGCCAATGCATCTATAAATTAACACAGAGTGTTTTTTTGAACTATTTTTCTGAAGATTTTACTTCTCCAGTCTTTCACTTTACTCCTGAGATTTTGTTGGGGATTTTGGTTGATATGAAAGTTGTGTTCGTAACATCCTCCTTGGTCTTCAAGGCATGGTTTGTGCTCATGACAAAAACATAGTTGTCTTGGTGACTTTGTAGTAAGGATGCACTGAAAATATTCTGCATTTTCGGTTTTCAGCAGAAAGACTTTGATAAAACGTGTAATGCTGAAATTACTTGTCGCGGCTGTACTTCATCCTCGTTATAAAGATAATTACACACGAGAAATGATCTTTGATAACTTTGAACATCACTTTTCACCTCTGTGAACCTAGTTCTTAAGCTGTGCTGTGATGGGATTATGGATGACAGCTGAAACCTTAAAACAATAGCGTTTTTATAGCAGGTTTATTTAGTAGATAAAACTCAACTTTCAACTTTAATTTTAACAACAATTATGAGTTTGTATTATGGTTCAATAAATACACCTTTTGAGTAGAAAATATAAACTGGCCCTGGTGGGAGATGTGAATAAAGTTACATATAACATTTATTGTTATGTGTGTCTGTGTCCTCTGCGGTGACTTGAACAATGGGAAGATATTTTTCCTGGCATATGATTTTGAATTTGGAGATCAGATAATCGTTGCTCATGTTTCCTTCCTTCAGAGTATTAAAGAAAGTGGCCGTGGGCCTGCACATACAGGGCTCTGAGTGATTTATCACTGTGGAATGGCTTCATGCAGATAAAATAACCAGACCATTAATGGACGTGCTTTTACTCCAGGCTACAATAACACATGACTACACTGATATGGAATTCTCAAGGCATGTTTTCCCTGTCATTCTCTTAAGTCTGCTTGTGAGTTTTTTTGTGTGTAAGCCCCACTGACTACACTGATTTATAGAATATTTAAACAATTAGAATTGATGGTAATGTATTTATTCATTGATTACTATCTGTTGTTTTAGCTCGACAAAACATTTTTGGCATCGGTTACTCATTTGACACCGTTTATTTGACATTTTTGTACACATGTCACAATATTTCTTTTACCATGGAAACAACTGATTGCTATTTGTAACCAGGCATCTTCTTGATGCCTTTGAGAGTTAACATCTGTGGTGATTAATGCATTATAAATGTAGATTGTTTATTGATTCAACAGAAAATCTCATGTGAGCTCAAACGGCGGTGAGCTGAATGTGCCTAAAACATGACTTTGATCCCATTTTGCTAATTAAGTCTCAGAGGCACATGTGTGCTTTGGTCTACCAATGGACAGTCGGTTTGGTTGAAAAATCTGCTATCATTGCATCAATCACAGTTAAAATAAAATAAAAAAGTTTTTTTTTTATTATGTTCCCTCCGAAAGTAGCTTTCATTGTACCTCCACAGGCCCCATGCCACTTCAACTCAAACCTCAACCAATAAAGCAAACTTGCTTGATGGCTCTGCTTGCTTTTGTCATTGTAATGAGGCTGAACTAAAGCCAGAGGTGTCTATAGCACAATTCACACAGGCACACTCTTTGCATGCTGAAACCTTTCCCGCCCTGAAATGTTTCTATGGCCTCCCTCCCACGTTTAGCCCCCCACACTCAAAAAAAAAAAATCTCCCTCACTGTGAAGTAATAGGACAAAAAAAACCCTCAAACTGCTCAATGCTGTTTCAATGTGTCTGGACTCTACACCTTAAGCCCTTCCATAAAGAAACTCATTTGGATGAGCAGAATGCATTCACAAAGACTGACACATAAGGCTGACTGAGGCTGCCAGAAAAGGGGTAGAGAATCGATTACACCTTTCTGAAACTCTGTGTGAAATTGCAAAGTAACTGTGGAGGCCACTGTGTTTTGTCAGGGCCAAAGGTGTCCCCGCTTGGAAACGAGCCACACCAAATTCCTATTATTACTCTCCTCATAGAAACAGGAGCTAAGCTTAGGCCTCCATCACAAGTTAATGCACTTCCAAATCCACTGCTGTGTAGCGAAGACAAGCATGAACAACAGTTAGGGTGCACAGCATTGCATAAAGATTTGATTGTTGCCAATTCGCAGATGGAATAATTCATAAGCAAGTACATATTTCAAAAAGTTGCAAAAGACTCTTATCTTCTTCCCAGTCATGTTTATTATATGTTTTATAACATTTAATGGAATGTAAATTTTAGAATGAAAAGTTGGAGACAAATTCAGACTAAATGGCCGGAGATGAAAGAACCTAAGGGAGAAAGTTTACTAAAGTAAACATCAGGTTAAAAGCATTATAATGACTTTTCCAGGTTGCATAAAAAGCAGTGCTGGATGCCACACATTTTATATGTGTTTTTAGCTCAACTAAAAGTCAAGACTATTTTTTTTTTTTTACGTACATGTTTTTCCCTCAAGGAGCCATGACGTATGATCCCAAACCTGGGAAGAGAAGTGTTTAAATTGAATGTTACTCCATACCATATGTTTTATATGTGGAACAAAACCTTTTGGAAAAGGCAGTGCATTTTTCCACAAAAATGGCAGCAGCTGCAAAACCACTTTTCACTGTGGTGCCAGTTTAAGGATTCTTGTGGAAAAGGCTTGATGATGAAGAGGCAACAATTTCAACTGAGGGAACCCCAGTGTTTTTCACTGCTAACAGATTGGTATTTGCCCAGCGGTTGTGGTTGTTTAAGAGTTGACCAGCTGTCTCTGAATTCTTATTTTCTACTCAACAGTGTTTGTCAAGGTTAATTGGAGTTTTGAAGCAATAGCTGTGAATGCATGGATGTATGCAGATGTACAGAAGAAGGAAAATGCAGAAGTCTGGGGACCGATGTAATAAAGTGACTTTAGAGATCATATGTACATTTTTTTATATAAATGACACTTACATTTAATTTTAACCTAATATTTTTTAAAAAGTCACTTAAATCAGCAAAACAACATGCAGTGTTTCACTGTTTAGTGTGAGGCAAAGATAGCTTTTTGGCTTGCTTGCCTGACCAGTTAGTTATCATGGAGTAGGAGTCTTGAGTCATTTATCTGGTCCCTCCAAACTAGACACTGCTGATGTCTAGACTTTGTCTTTTGCTTTGTTTACAGTAGAACATTCAGCAGATCATAAAATGAGGAAGCTTTTTTTAAATATACATATTCCTCTACACTCTAACCATTCCCAGACTGACTCTCCCAAATGAGGGTGTATCCAAATAAATCTAGCTTTGTCATTTTTCTTTCACTGCTTTTTCACAGAGGAGTCAAGTCTACTAGCTTACATCATGAGCAGTCATCTTTTTGTTTATGATTTATCTGTGACTACCTGCCCACATCCAGATGACAGCCTCCTGACATCAAACGGTCAGCGTTAGCCAGAGGCCCTTTGTGTGGGTTCAGGTGGCAACTATAAAGCCTCCAGATCCCTCACTGTAATGAGGGACGAGACAGTGCCAGCACAGGTGAGCACTGCAGGAATTCAGCGACCGCAAGCCTTTGAACCTCAAGGGATGTGCATCTGTGGGTTTGTGAAGTTACGTGCCTGATAGCTGTTTCAAGTGACTGGTGACGACAGCTAATGATGGGTTGGTGGATGTCAGGGTTATTTTCTGTGGACAAGCCATGTCAGTCATACCTGTGAATTCAGACACAACCTCACTTTAATTTCAAATGTCCTATCTGTAATTAAGCATGATCAGCACAGCAATATAGACACAACATGTAGTCTATAAATTATACATTTTCTACTTTTTCTTTGTCAGTGTCTTCTACATTAAAAAGCCTGAAAGAAATGAAGCTTTAGCTGCAAAATTAGGTTTTAAAAGTTTAATTTAATATTACCTATTTTCATTACAGGCTTACATTGTTTTTCTGAATCAACTGATTAATAATTCTTATATTCTGCCTTCACAGTGACCTTAGGAGTAACCTCATCAGCCACATAGAACCAGGTGCATTTCTTGGATTGCCAGCGTTAAAAAGACTGTGAGTAGCTAACATTTCTTTCTGTTTATTCATGTACATGTGTTCTATTTTTCACTGTATGTGCAGCCAAAAAGCAGTGTGGTGCAGCCGTAGTGTTTTTGTTTTTTTATAATATTTGTTCACTGCTCAACTGTCTGATTTCAGTAAATTTTTTTATTGCATATAGTCTATAGTTGTGGATAGAAGTGATTGTTATTTTAAAATACCACGCTGATTATTGTAAATATAAAAAAAGATATAACACATTACCAAATGATCCACAGCCCCATTTCTAATTCCCAGCCCAGTGTTTGAGGTCCACTGGTCTATGGCATGAGAAACATGTGACCTAACAGGTCCACAGTGTATTCCTTGTCCAAAAAAGATCATGGTCAAGTTCAAGTCTATTTCTACTGCCTTGTTTTGTCTGGGCTTATGCCAGAGACTACTGCAGACACTATGAGGCCTTATATACTTTCACACACTCCACTGAAACAGTGTGAGTAGGGTGATATGTAAACCTCTAGGTGTGTGTTTGGCATCTAGGAATATCATGTAAGGATCAGTTTGATTTGCAGAAAATACATCAAACTGAAGTCCATCTGGAACACTATGTGGCATGTGAGTGTGGGAGGTCAGAGACCATGTGCTTTAGTGCATAGATGTGCGTTCTCCCCTCTCTGTATGTGACTGCGTATGCATGGGAGAGAGCAGGAGCACAGCATGAATTGGAATAATCCAGCAGCATCCAGTTGCTGCCAACACAAACTTGAGCTTGGCAGCTGCTGTGGAGCAGTGAGAAGGAGACAGGAAGGCAGTCAGCTTCTTGGCTTCAACCTGGCCTAATTTTCCTCCCCCTCCTCTTCAATGCATATTCATGCTACACTCAGATAGATCCATGCTTGCTAGTATGTCCTCGACATAGTAAAAATCATCAAGAGCAGTTTGTGTTAAGGCTGCGGACATAGCGTTGTTTTCTGAGACAAATGCTTAATTTCATTAAACAACTTTGTTTCATTAAACAGGTTCTGGTTTCGCCTTAAGAGTAACCAAAGTTTAATTGGCCCCACCACTAAGCTTATTCCAAAGAGTGGTTGCCGAATCAACTGTGAAAAGGGGGGAGAACAGAATGATGAAGGCCAGTAAGAGATGATGGGGTATTATAAACCCCGGTAATGTAAGCATGTAAGCCCTACATCAGGGGTTGGCACAAGCTGCAACACATCCAGCCTTGTTGTTCCCTTTATCAAACTTGACGAGATTATGTAAAGAGATTTTCTTCTACCCTTTCTATGGCACAGTCATCTCATTGATCTTCTACATGTCCATCTATAGCTTTTTCTTTGTTCCTTTCACTAGCTTAACGTCGTGGTGTCTGGTTTAATTCTCATCCATGCTCTGCTACATTAGGGTCTTTCTCTGTCTAGGCTAAGTGGCTATCTTCTCCTTCATGACATAGTATTTGAAGGACCTTTTATCTTATGTGTGTTGTCACAGCGCAGTGGCAGCACTCTCTTTAAAGAGAAGGCTAGTCTTGTTAAAAGAGTTAAAGAGCTTTCAAATTAACGTTCCAGAAGAACATGACCTGCTAGAGGTTAAGTGCAGGTTTATAATTCAAATTTCTTGCACCATGACAATCAATTTAGCGTGTTATACACACAAAGCACCCAAAGTACAGTGATACCTCAGGTCACGACCTTATTTCATTGTTTGACTCTGTTCTTGACCAGAAAACTTTGTAAACCAAATCAATTTTTCCTCATTGTAATTAATATAACTCCGGTTAATCCGTTCTTTGGCCTAGAAACTTTTTTTAAATTATTTTATGGCTACATGTGTGGAAATAATACAAGAAAGAAAGAAATATAGCAGTAATTATAGAAGAAACCTCCTCAAATACCAAAATAAAATTAATTTTGCAGTACACAGTTTACCTTTGTGGTTGATAATGGCTGGCACAAGTGGATGGAGGAGGTGGAGAGGGGGAGGAGGAAGATTACTCCCTCGAAGGCCTCTCCTTCGAGGGAGAGTCCCATTCCATAATAACCTCGGGCAACTCTGTGGATATGTCATCAATGACAAACAATGTTAGAGTTACTCTAACCACTTGGTGTGCAGACACTAGATGCACGAGAACTGGTATGCTGCTGGGTGAGTGGCTGGGCGTCTCATGTGGTGTTTTGTGAGTCACGTGTCCCACACGCTGCGGTGAGTAGTGTGTGTGTGTGTGTGTGTGTTTTAGAACCAAACCAGTGTTTGTGAAATGAATGTGTTTGAAAATAGTGTTTGAGTCCGATTTGTTTGTGAATAATGACGTTCGTGACCCGAGGTATCACTGTAATATAACTATAATTGGGTCCCTAAGCTACTGTACATATGTTGGGTGCCTTGTAATGCCAGATTAAATGAGTCATTTAGTGGTCTGGTGCAATGTCATTGTTTGTTATAATATAATCTTTCAAAAGGTTTTGAAAGGTCTCATTTCAACACAGACCCCCCCAAAAACTAAATACTGATGTGTCTCAAAGTGTTCAAATTGCTGTCCCTACTGACATTGCTCTCTGTTGACTCCTTTAGGTTTTAGTCACGGCACTGCTTTTTTCGCATCTCTGCCACCTTTTTGATCAGATTTCCACAGTAGAGATTTGAATATTATCAAAAAGACTTGCTATAGACAGGGTAAACTGAAAAAAAAACAGGCAGAAAGTTGTGATCCCTCCAAACCCAGCTATAACTCAGATCATTACGTTTAAATTAATGTTTTTAAAGTTTTCTATTTTCTGCATCTTCACTCGCTTGCTGACTAGACATACCCGTATTTCGGGGTCTAATATTATCAAATGACACTTGTTATTGCAAAAATCAAAAACTGTAAGACTTGCTGAATTGGTTAACTCTGGTGATACCATTACATCCTCATCAGGAAGATTTTGTGGTCTATTTTTAGAGCTGTCTTTCAGGGCCCAAGAAGAGTGTACTACTGCTTTCCCAGCTTGGCTGCCTCTAATAAAAGAGTGCAATACAGTAAATTAGTTATTGGAATTCTAACTTTAAGTCTGGATCAGTACACAAAAAAGTCTATATGAATTTATAAAAGTCGCCTCTTTGTGTAGTCAGTTTGGTGTAATCTAAGCTGCAGCCTCGATTGCTCTCATTTGAAACAGAACAGGTTTCTTTTAAATCTTGAACCCTATGGATTCCACAGGCTCTGACCCTATTTGCTCCACCAACAGCTGAATGGTTCATACTCACGGCTAAGCACATCGTTCTATTTTTGCTCCTGTGCCTCCGATCCTTCATAACAACCTAAGCACTGGAAAGAGGTGGAACTCTTTTCAGTTTACTTTTCACATGCCTGTGGATAAAAGGCCCCAGTTGACATGAAGTGTATGGAACATAAATACTGTACAAAGTAAAGGATCGACGAGTCACTTCAGGTATTGGCCAAACTGTTGATTGTACTTTTGATCACAAGATTTTTGCTTCTTTCAATTGTGATAAAAGAAGTAGAAAACATTAAATTAAATTAAATTAAGAAAGTATTAGTAGACTAGCTCAAGAGTCAGGTATTGGCATGAATTATATGCAGATTCACTTGTGTTCACATGTAGTTTTGGATCAAATACCCTTCTAATAAACTAATCAACTCATTAAAAAAAGACAAATATGTCAAGGGCGAAGCCCACGTTTTTAATAATAATAATATTTTGAACTTTATTGATCCCATAGTTGCGAAAAATCTCCTGTAACAGCAGATCTGCTGCAACAGACAACCCAGGACTCTCTGCTCCCTGCCGCCGAGGCAGGTGTGCTCACTGCTTTACTGGGGAACCAACATTAACCTGTAAACAGGACTTGTTGAGAGCAAGAGCCAATCAAAGCTTTGTGGTCCAGAAGGCGGGACCTGTAAACTGAGAACCAATCACAGCAACAGTGTGTTTCTGGTAGTAGAATAAAGAAAAGACAGTAGGGAGTCAGAAGCAGTAAAACTCCATACTCCAAAAACTCCATTTGTGAGGGTGTCACCAAAAGGTAGCTGACTTTTCTTAATTGATAAACCCTATCTCAAATCCATATTCAAACAACTTAAGTGAATTCTTTAAAAGCCCTGTTAAGTTTCAAGATTAGTTTAAGTTTAAGAGAGTTTAGCACATTTTTTAAAATGAATGAAATACAAATTCTACAAAATAGTTTGGATATTTTAGACTAGTGGCCAACATTGGCCACTGTTTAGTGTGGCTAGTTGTTAGTATATGCTGTATTAGTCACGTCTTCTTTTATCCAAATACTTCTGTCGTTGGCTTAACTGCGCTTGTTAAATCTTACAGAATATGAATTAGCATGGTATTTATTCAGTCTTATTTTACATTTCTTCTTGTTCCAGGCTGTTGTTCTAACCTAAGTATTTGAATCCCACAGATAAAGTGAGATGAAAGTATTTTCTCCCTCCCTACTTTCCCCCCATTACACAATACTTGCACAGAATTGGCAAGTCTGCTAAAGGTGTTTTTTTTTCTCTTCCGCTGTCTTCCAAGTGGAACTAATAACCTCGTACTGTATATTCCCCAGCCGAGGACTAACACCAATAATTACACAAATACTTGGATGCTAGCATATGCCACACAGGCATTTTCCTAGTAACACTTTCCATCACCTTCCATTCCTCAGGGACCACAGGACACAGTTTAGCTGTTGCTTTAAGCCTGGAGGTAAAGGTGGGTCTCTTCCAGGCTCTTGTTTCCTGTCCACTTGGACCATTTCAATAACTGGATCATCCACAAAAGGATGTTTGTAACAACGACTGTCAAAAGTGCTTTTACTTGAACTCAGCTGCTGGGAGTGATTATAAACACGTTTTGTAATCTGATATAAGCCCGAGCTTGGGGGAAAATTTAAGCTGCACCAATTAAGCAATATTTCCAGGATCACATGTCTGCTTATTAGTTGCCTGCTCATAGACTGTTGCAGTCATTTTAACTTTTCTTTTCTTTGTGTGTTACTCTTGTGAAGCGTCTTTTGCTTTGAATTACTCTCTCCCTTTTTAGTTGATGTTCATTAGATGAGGCTTAAATGTAAACCCACTCATGATCTGTCACACACCTGATAGCTGGCAGGGCTGCTTGCAGACTATCTGGTGGAGCATTTGGCACTTGGAGTTCCTCTCTGAAGTCTGCCTGGACCAAAACAGAGATCAAACGATAAGAGAATATTTGACTTGTCGGTTCTCGCTTTGTTTTCAGAAACAGGACTCCAGTTCATTGTGAATGTTGCTCTGTAGTGCTTTGCTGGATGTTTGATACAACTTTATGTTGCTGGCGTATGTCAATTTTGTGTTTCCAGTTTTCACCCTGCTGACTGTTTCACTCTGTTCTGCTCTCTTTTTGTTAATTAAAGAATGGGAGAAAAATTCACTCCAAATGCTAACTTCCTCTAATGCATTTTTAGTGACTGCTTTACACTGTTTTAGTGACTGCTTTACACTTTCGCTGTGAAACAAGCTTTCATCTTGCATCTAGAGGTCAAACATACTTCTGACTTGTATGACAATAACACAGAGTGATTTATCACCTCCCAGAGTGTTGCTCTTCCTTTAATGTGAAGGTAGCCCCAGAGAATCACCTACACACACTCATGATTCAAAATCACCCTGGATGGTGAAAACCTGTTAGCAGAGTGTCTCTGACAAAGTGACTCTTTGCCTCAACTAGTAACACTGGCTTAAAAAGTGCTATACTCCACTAGTGGTGACACTAAATTTTGTGTTTTCATTTCAGTGCAGTTTTTTAATCCTACTAAAACTGTTTTAGGAATTATTGTCATATTTTAATCTAGCCAAGCTAAACCACATGCTGTTATCTTTGTATTTTCAGAGACTTGTCCAACAACAGCATCGGTTGCTTGAACATTGACATATTCAAGGGCCTCAGCAGTCTGGTTCGACTGTGAGTAAATTATTTTCTAATGCATTCAAACATTTTTATCCCAAATATCTGTAGCTTAAAAAACACTGCTTTATGGTATGTTTGTGGGTTTTCTATTTCTTTTAGAAACCTTTCAGGGAACATTTTCTCATCTCTGACTCCAGGAATCTTTGACAGCTTGGTGTCTCTGAAGTCGCTGTAAGTGTAATAACAAGTCCGTTTGTTGCTGTCTGTCTGTATTTGTGTCTGTGTGTGCAATCTTAAATACAGATAATCTTATTAGACCAGGTATAATTCCAGCCAAAACGGGACAGAACTGTTTTCGCAAAGGCTGGTTAGACTTAAAAAAATGTTTGTGTGTGTTTGTGTCTATATATGCATGTGTTTATGGTGGAAATTGTGTAGAAATCTGCAAATTACGGTTAGTTATCATACAAAAGAAACCTTGCATGGATGTCAAACTGTCTCTTTTTGTGTGTTCATGTTTGTGTCTGTGTGTTCTTGTCCATCTACAGGGAGTTCCAGACTCCCTATCTTCTGTGTGATTGCAACCTTGCATGGTTGCTACGCTGGATCAAAGAGAGGAACATCGCAGTCAAGAACACCAAGTGCTCCTTTCCTCAGTCTCTTCAGGGTCAACTGATTACTTTGTTCAAACCAGAGATTCTTACCTGTGGTAAGTCCAACAATGCTTATAAACTTCCTTTGCTCAGAAAAAATAATATATAATATGGTAAATAATATTTAAAAAAAACTGTAACACAATTTAATTTTGCAGTGACTTGGTTAAATGTATTCTTCTATTCCATAAACAAAATTATTAAGAATAGTGTTTAATTAATTTGCACGGATAATATAATATTTATTTGGTCTTGTGCAGTGATACAAGTGAGGCCACTTTGTTTGTATTCATGGGTCATCGGTCTGACACTCACTACAGCGAGAAACTTTGAAAGCCACCGTATCTACAAGTCATTGGCCTGGAAGATGTGAAAGAGCACTTCACAAAGTTGAAAATTTCCAATAAATGTATCCAACAAATGACCAACATGACCCTGTGGCTAATCTCCATAGATGCTCCGCTTGAGCTGCCCTCCTTCCAGCTCACTCCATCCCAGCGGCAGGTGGTTTTCCAGGGTGATAGTCTGCCGTTCCAGTGTCAGGCTTCCTTTGTGGCAGAGGACATGCAGGTGCTGTGGTTCCAGAACGGCCGTATGGTCAAGCCTGACGCTGCCCAGGGTATTTTCATTGAGAAGCGCATGGTGCAAAACTGCTCTTTGATTGCTAGGTACATACGACAACATTCATTTTAATTCACCTTGTGATTTTTGCCATAAATATGAGGTCAAATTCACCTTCAGACTGATGAGTGATGGGACAATTTTTCCAATCTTTTTTCTTAGTGCATTGACCATCTCAAACATTCAGCCTGGTTTCACTGGAAATTGGGAATGTCGGATTTGGACTAGCAGGGGCAACACAACCAGGACAGTCCATATTGTGGTTCTAGAGAGTTCTGCCAAGTACTGTGCTCCTGAACGAATTTCTAACAACAAAGGAGAGTTCAGGTATTGTTGCATGTTAAAAGAAGAAGCCAATCTCATTAAATGTGTTTTCTAATAATCTTAAATCTTAAATATAGACTTAATTAATACTTCATTAAAAAATTAAACTAAATTAAATCTAAACCTAATTCATCTCCTAATAACACAGGAGGTTACATCTTGAAACTACTGTATGCAACAGTCCACACTGTAGATAGCCCCTTTTATTGAACTTCCAACATTAAGTTTTTCTATAGCTGTCTTTGCCCTATTTTTACACAGATAGTCACATATAGTCATGCTGTATGTCTAAAGACCTGTTAAAATATGTTTTTCTTTGTTTTTAATAGTGATAATAGGAATCTATTAAATCTTGAAGCACCAAAAATAGCAAACACTTTGGCCCCCTCTTCTGGTGAAACAAAAAAATGAGTCCATTCTCTTAGTTATTTTGGAAAAGAAATAGATAGGGCCATGACGAGATACAAAGGATGGGATTTAGTACCCAACCCAGTAAAATTCAGTCTTTGTTTTTTTTTAGGTGGCCTCGTACCTTGGCAGGAATCAAGGCATATCTTCCCTGCAACAGGCTTCCAACAAGTGCAGGTACCTACTCAGGCAGCTCAGTTGAAGAACAGCGGGCATGGCGCTACTGTGACCGTGAGGGTCTTTGGGCAGAGGAGGACTACTCTCACTGCGAGTTCCAGAAAGATGTCACTAGATTCCTTTATTTAATTAACCAGGTTTGTGTTTCCTCGGTTCAGTTTTCCTCTCTAATTTTTTCTAAATGTAAAAGAGTCACAAATCAGTGTCTGATAGTGAATGCTTTCTTTTCTATTTATTTGCTAGATGCCTCTGAATGAGAGTAATGTGGTTCACCGAGCCCAACGCCTGTTGGTTTACACCATTGACGCAGCCAACTTCTCAGACAAGATGGACATTATTATTGTTGCCGAGATGATTGAGAAGTTTGGCAAGTTCGTTGAGAAGTTTAAGGATGTGAGTGCTGCGGTTGATTATTCCCTCACTAAACCCACAAACAACAAACAGACTGAAGTCACAACATTTGTCAAAACATTTTTACAAGCCTGCACTCATGCTGGAGTGTGATTCATCGGTTTGCTGCATTACCCTAGATCAAGGACAAACAGATTAATGCTCAACAGCTGTTTGTTGTCATGTCGTTTAATAGGAAAGGATTTGTTTGCATGACTTCCGGCACAGCTAGTGGCCAATAAATTTAAATGTTACAACATTTTCAAAGTTATGGAGAGACTAGCACATTGTAACTGCCGCCGGCAAGTTCTTAAAGGTTACTCGGGCAGCACTGTGCTTGAAATGTGTTTTCAATAGTCACTTTACTGCTAGACTCAGGTCAAGTACCTCCCTCAAGCATGTGTTTAAAGCTGTGTGATACAAACAAGATGCCGACTGAATGCAACCACATTTCTTTTGTTTCCTTCACTTAGCATGTAAGATTCAGAACCTGCCAAAGTCTAAGTTTGAATTAATTGCTGTTTTGCCTTTTTTGTTATAGTCCATCATAGTTTCTTGTATTTTTATATTCACATGCCACTTCGTTTTAATCTCAGCTTGGGGAGGTGATGGTCAGCATGGCCAGCAACCTAATGCTGGCTGATGAGAGGGTTCTGTGGATGGCTCAGCGTGAGGCCATGGCATGCTCTCGCATTGTTGCCTGCCTTCAAAAGATCGCCGTGTACCGCCTGGCATCAGCACAGGCCTTCTCCCTGGTTAGTCATATCAACAGCGTGGTCATGTTTCTCCAGGACATTTCTCATGCAGATGATGTTAATGATATGAATGATAACTCTGTGTTGTCCTTCCAGACATCCCCCAACATAGCACTGGAGGCCCACAGTGTCAGAGCAAACGAGTGGAATGGTATGAGCTGCATGTTGTTTCAGCGGCTCAGCCCAGAACGGACACCTAACCAGGACAGGCAGCTCACATTCAAGTGCAACACCACCAGCTCAATCTCCAGCATCCTATACAAGGTCAGCTCTCGTCAGAGATGTTTACTGTTGTCAGAATTATAGACTGAATTATAGATTTCACTAATGCCAATACTGGTGTCGATAACAGGTCCAATACCTTATTCAAGTTCTTTTTTGTACAAATTGTACTGTTATAAGGTAAGTTAGTACTACATGCATAATATTGTATTCCTCATTACTCAGAATGTTGTTTTTTTCTTCTTTTTATCAACAGAGTACAGTTGTGGAGGCTTCCCTGCAGCTTCCTCAGTCTCTGTTTACTCAGGCGACACCTGCTGGGCAGGCGGAGGACCCGGTCTATAAGCTTCACCTACTGGCCTTTCGTAATGGCAAATTCTTTCCCTCCACCATCAACTCCTCCCAGTTGGCAGATGGGTTGAAAAGAAAAAGTGTGGCTACCCCAGTCATCATGGCCAAGATTGGTGAGTGATAAATTGACAAACTATGTATTTGACCAATGGGATAAAAACCAAAGGACAATATCTAATCCTGCTGCTAATCCTGATGTGAATTCATAAAAATAGCACATTAGGTGAAAACATTTTAAAAAAAACATGAAATGACTCTGAGTATCTGTTTTGGTGATTCCATCTGTCTCAGACGGCATATCCCTACATGTCCTGAGGACCCCTATCAACATCACCTTGCGGCGGTTTGCCCGTGGCTCTGATCCTGTGTCTGCCTCGTGGAACTTCAGCCTGGGGGGCGGACAGGGAGGATGGCAAAGTGAGGGCTGTCGCATCTTGACCCACCATGACAATGTCACCACCATATCCTGCAGTTCACTGGGAAACTACGGATTGCTTATGGTAGGAATTAACCTGAACTGAACCCATGACCTGTTGGAACGGATGAACTTTGACAAAGCAAACATGCTCATTTCATGCAGTTTTAATTTTTTCATTTGACAATAGTCATGTCAGTGATGTCAAGAACTTCAGTTTAGTGATTAGATAGTGATTAGTTCTAATCAGTTCTCATATATATGAACACATATATATACATTATGTATATACTGTATACACAGCATAGTGGTGCATTATAAACTGTAACTATAAAATAAGTTGATAATGCATAACTTATATTTCATTGCAGGATCTCAGTAATGTGGAGTATTTTACTCCCGGTATCCAGCCTCTGCATCCCGTCATCTATGCCACTAGTATCATACTGCTCCTCTGTCTGCTCACTATCATTATAAGTTACATTGTCCATCATAGGTAAGAGTTGAATTCATTTTATAAGTGATAATCTTCAAATATGTATATGTAGAAAACGTGCCATACAGCCATCTTCTATATTTGTTGTTTTTCAGGTCTGTGCGCGTGAGCCGCAAGTTTTGGCACATGTTAGTCAACCTCTGCTTCCACGTCTCCCTCACCTGCGGCGTCTTTGTAGGTGGCATCAATCAGACGCACTACGCCAGCGTCTGCCAAGCAGTGAGTACACACCACCTGCCCACCTTCAAAATTCTGCTGTGTTTTTCTGTCATCCTTCAACTGCAATGGCCACAATTAACATGTTTTGAAAATTTAAAGCAGGAAAATTCTCAAAAAAGTTACCATGGAATGAGTAAATATCTCTTTGTTTATGATATGTACAGAAAAATCTAAAGTAATCTAGTGATCTACCCTAAGCTGGGTGTCTGACCAGAAGTTAAAAATTCAGCAAACACAAGCTAGGCATTGAGATGGTATTTAACACTCTTTGGTTCTTTGGTGAGAGAAAAGCTCTTTCTCCAGTTTGTGTAAATAACAACACGTGTATTTACAGTGCATGTCATTGTGTCCAAGCAATAAAACTTATTAGAATTGTTCATGTGATTTATTTCACAATTACTTTATGAAAGTTAAGAAAGTTATTTTTGAAAGCACTTATATTTTAATATTTTATAAAGAAAAACTAAGTGAAAAGGGCATTAAAAAACTCAACAAATAAGCTCACACAGTACATTCTCATTTTCAGTACTCCGACTTTGACAAACAGATAACAGTGTAATGTAATTAATGTCTTTCAGGTGGGTATCCTGCTGCACTACTCTACTCTGGCTACGGCTCTGTGGGTAGGTGTGACTGCACGCAACATCTATAAACAGCTGACTCGAAAGACCAAGCGATATGAAGAGCTGGATGAGCCACCGCCACCACCACGGCCCATGCTGAGGTATGGCATCAACATCCTTGAGTTTACACCTTCGGTCTGTTGATACAGTAAATGTATAATTTCCTACTAAACCAAAAACGTTTGTCTTCAGAAATACATGTTGTAGCTTCATAGTAACTAACCTTGTGTCTGTGCAGTTAATTAAAAAAAAAACAAGCTCAAAAAGGATCTTAGCCTTTGTACATTTTCGGAACAAATTTAATTTTGATTTTCTGTTTTTTATGTGTTGTTTTTAATCTTGTTATACTCTGTATACTATAATTATAGAGAAGAGTTGTTATCGCAAAACAGCCACACGATGTCACTGTTGAGGCCTATTCGGTCCACTCTATACTCACAAATACATATTTTTTGCTTTTTTCCTAAAGGTTCTATTTAATTGGCGGAGGGATACCCATCATTGTCTGTGGGATCACTGCAGCAGCAAACATCAAAAACTACGGAAGTCGCACCAGTGCACCATAGTAAGAAATCCCTGTATAAATTATAGGAAGCTGCTAAAATACCCATTCCTCATAGTAATGAAGCAATGGAAATAGCATGTCATTTTAACGAGACAGTGTTGCTTAATGAGGAAGCATTTAAATCCCCAGCGATCTTTTACACTGTCCTCAGGAGAAGAGAAAAGCTGTGGTATCGACTGTGTCATTTTAGTAAATAATGGCTATTTTTATCAGACTGGGATAAATTTATTCCCTCAAGTTCTGATTAAACAGTCCTATTAATGGCATGTGCATCTGAGCAACAATCAGCGGCTGCCAGTGTGAAAAATATCCCTCTCTGTGGTGGCAGCTGTTTAGAGTGTGCAATGTGGCTGACTAATTGAGAAATCTGGACGTGTGTCTGGAGTTTAATTAATTTTTGCAAGCAAGACAATTTCAGCCTGTTATAATATAAATAATAAATATAACGGGACAGTTAGAAGCACATTTTCTCTCCAAGACTCTGTGAAGTAAATGATGAAAGAGAAAAACTTTGATGAGGTGATTAGCCATTGTTTTAACAGTCACAATTTGAATGAGCCTAAAATTCAATGTGACTCTGCATCATATTTTACCATTTGCTTTCTTTACTTTTTCTAGTTGTTGGATGGCATGGGAGCCCAGCATTGGGGCGTTCTATGGCCCAGTAGGATTCATCATCTTTGTTAACTGCATGTACTTCCTGAGCATCCTGCTCCAGCTGCGGCGCCACCCAGAGAGGCGTTACGAGCTGAAGGAGATGACCGAAGAGCAGCAGCATTTGGCTTCAGCCATGACCGATGCCGAACCAGATGGCTCCCGCGGCCACTGCCATCCACCAACCCTTCAGCTTCACCCTCACGAGGCAGCGTCCTCTGTGATGTCTGCTCCCCACACCGTGCCACTATCCTCCCTGGAGAATGAGCACACTTTTTCTGCCCAACTCATGGGCGCTGCAGGGGCATTAGGGCTTTATGCAGCCCTCTGGGTGTTTGGTGCCATGGCTGTGTCACAGGACCATCCCTACGACTTGGCGTTTACCTGCTTGTTTGGTGTTGCTGCGTTGGCTCTTGGGGCCTTCATGGTTGCACACCACTGCGTGAACAGACAGGATATGAGGCGCTATTGGTCCCAGACCTGTTGCTCTGGGAGACGAGCCTACTTTGCACAGGAGGACGTCCTTTTGTCTCAGCCAGATGTGGCGTTGGCATCCACTGCAGGGTTTGTTAATAAGGCAGATGGAGAGTCAACGAAATGCGGACACAGCAGCGCAGACTCTTCTTACACCAATAAGAGCGGCCCAAGCATGCGTAACTCCACCCACGGCAGCAAGCTGACCAATCTACATGCTGAGGCGGCCCAGTGTAAGCCGGCCTCAGCACCTGTGTCGGCCAACGGTGCCGCAATTTTGGACAACAGCCTCACTGAGCACTCGGTAGACAATGAAATTAAAATGCATGTAGCACCGTTGGAGGTGCAGTTCCGTCCCATGAACAACGTCAACGCTCACTCAACCGCCCCAAACGGACACATAGGCAGGCACCACAAAAACAGAGCCAGATCGCACAGGGCCAGCCGTCTGACTGTACTGCGGGAGTATGCCTACGACGTGCCGACCAGCGTGGAAGGCAGCGTGCAGAGCTCTTCCAACAGGCGCCATCATTATTATGATGTTGCAGCACGCAACAGTCGACGGGCGGCCTATATGGCGTACAGGGAGCGTCATCAAAGCCAGCTGCAGCAGGACAGCAGCGACAGTGCCAGCCTGCCACGTCGGTCACGATACTCTGATAAAGGAAGCACCAGCGCACTGGGGAACGGGACAGTGGTGACCATTGAGAGTGATCGGGCCGCAACTCTTGCTGGGTCATGTTCCAGTAAGGACTCTGGACCCGCAAAGCGCCCCAGCAGCACGGAATTAGAAAACCTCCCGAAGTCATATGGGCTCAACCTGATCACACCAAACGGCACACTCAAAGAGAACAGTCAGACTGTGCCTTTAATAAACACAGAGACGACAGCCATTATTAAAACTGGTTTGTGGAAACATGAAACTACTGTGTAGCAAATGTTTCCACTGAAAGACTGACGCACTCACCACTTCAAACTGTGAAATGTTCTGACTCTAGTTTCTAAACTGTACATTTTAGAAGACTGCTTTAAAAAAATTATTGAGAAAAAAACACTAGCCACATATTTACATTTTTGCCACTGATCAGCGTTTGTAGATAACTTTTTGTAAATTATCTATTTTTGTAAATTTTAATCAAACTCTTTCATTACAAATGTGAGTTCCTCCAATGAAAGTGCATGGTCTGAACTGTGGCCTTCTTCATACTCTCTGGACTCTTTTTTTTTTATTATTTAGTTGGTCGTGACAAGAATAAAACAAAAGTCCTGACATTCTTGTGATAACACCTGCAGTCTTCTTATTTGGCTCTCAGCAGCTCTTGGAGGAGCTGAGCCAGAGCTGTTTTCAGAAAACCATCCTTACTGACAACACACTGTAAGACAAGCATGTAATTGGGATTTTTCACTGACCCTCCAGTGGCCTTGACTTCCCATCCCGGCACTGGAGGAGCACTTTAATTGCAGCTGCCCATGGCTTTGGGCTATTGAGGTGTAGTCTGCCTACCTGCTGCCAGTGCTCACTGTACATTGTGGGCTGCTGCCAATTTTGATGCCTGGCTCGTGATTGACAGCTGACTTACAGGGGCAGAGAAAAGGCAGCTCGAGAAGAATGGGCCGTTTTATTAAGAAGACGATGTGGATGTAATGACAGAAAAGTACTACAGGGATGGAGTAGTGATACATGATGCAAAGTGAGAGACTCCTGGTTCTGTCAACAGCTGCAGACACATCAGATTGTAAGATATCACTACTGACCAGACACTGCAGATTGTTATTTAAAGGAACATTTACTCTAATTAAAGACTCAGTAATACATTCTATCCTCTTTGGCTTACAAGAGGTAATTTTCATCCAGGAAGATACAAAGTAGACAAACCTCGGAGCTTTTGATGGCTTCTGCAAAGGCAAAAATAGAAAGTCGGATTAGCATAAAATAAAAGCATATTTACTGTTTTCAATTACATTTCACAGTACATCCTGCTCTCTTTTTTCCACCCCTGTCATCTCAGCTCCTGTTCTTGTCTCAAAGGGTAGACTGAAATGATTTTACAGTAAAAATAGAACTGCTAAAAACAGAACAGAGAAACAATACTTGAAAAAGATGTAGAAACCACATTCAAAAACCGAATCTACGCGAAGAGTATGTAAAGTTAAGAAATAAGGCTTTATTCTTTCTTTCTACTATAGTAAATGCAAATTCTAATATTTTTAACCCAACATTTTGAGAGGAAACTATGAAAAAATTGAAACCAGATCATAACATTTGTTAAGATGGTAAAGAAATTGTTAATATATTACCATATTAACCAATTGTAAGTTTGAAGGTACACTAAAAGATGTGGTTATTGACCAAATGAATTTGCAGGTAACTTATTTGGTTATGCACATAAATCCCATTACAACTTTGAAGATTTTTGGCCCCCCAGCTCCCAGTATTTGAAACTATGTCTGATCATGATATTCTTACATGAATCCAAAATAGGCAAACTTTCTTAATTTTTCATTACTTCAGAGGGCTGTCAAATGAAAAAATCACATATGTGGATTAATGGCTATTAATTATGATTAAATACGATTAAAGTGCACATCATTCTAGCCATGTGTTAAAATTCAGTAAAAAATGTATGTTAATAATAAAAAATAATTGCTAATAAACTTAAGTTAATATGCAGTTATTTTCAGCGGTTGCAGTTTCAATTTCTGCCATTAATTACATTTTAGTCACTGAGGAGATGCTATTTGAACCCAAATTCACCACTAGATGTCTCTAAATACTACAATCCAAGTCTTTGCATACTCAAAGACTTGGAGTTTGAATCAATTAAAACACGTACTGATAATGCTTCGAATTTGAATTTGATTTATTAATGAGTCTTATGTCATCTTTCCAATTTGATGCACACTTTAAATTACCATTAAGTGCTGCTTCCCGATCATCCCACTGTAACCCATGTAGCAGCAGACAGCAGCGCGCCAACAGCAATATTTCTCATTAATGGCGTATTAATAAAACACATATTTCACTCAGGCAAAGACATATTGCCAGGCCATCTTGGATGTGACAAATTCTAATAAGACTTTTGAATTATGTAGAGAGCAGTTACGCCCTGATTAGTGGCAGCCACTCTTGATTCCCCGGAGGCATGAAAGAGTGATCTTCAAATAATGGCCAAGGTTCTTTAGCTGTGCCATCTGTTATAAAGTTCATCTCAGACTGTTGGTGAGGCAGGAATGACAATCGGAGGAGGCTGTGTGACTGGAAGAATCTTGTCCAGGCATATAAACTGATAATAATCTCTGCTGTCAGATTACAGGGACACCTTGGTTGCGAATCGATAATGAATTAATATAAAACAATTCAAGACATTTTTAAAATCCCTCTCAATTAGATCACACATCTGGGAAATAATGAATCATTCCAACACCCAAAAACACTGCTTGTTGATAACATGACAGTCCCTAATATCCTCTGAGCAGACTTTTAGAGGATTATTTCTCACACCTGGAAACTTAAGGAAAGACTGACATCAGATAAATGATGTGCTGTTTACATTTTCCAGTCACTGTCTGTGAAGCCTGGAGGAAGCACCTGGCTCTGTTGTGGTTTCCTGACATTGGAAAAAAGATTGATGTTTTCTACACGGTGAAGTCATTTGACTTGGTTGTCCGTTAAAACCAAAGAGGATTTTTCTCTGGACCACGTTGACCACAAGGACTTTCAGATTTGATGTATGTCAGTTAAAAATAATTAGCAGAGAGAGTTTATAGTCATCATCAAAGTCTGGACTGTGTGGTGGTTGATCTGATACTGAGAATTTACAAAAAACATTTTGAATTTACATTTTTGAAAACAATACACATACTTATTAAAAGGAGAAGGATATTTCTTCAATTATTAGTTTAAGGGCTAAGATCAGGACATGCTTCAGGACACGTATATTTACATGTGTTTCTAAACAGACTATACATCTATGTTGATATTAATCATTTTTGACCAGGGCGGTGTTCACATGTCATTCATTTTGGAAAAATAAGACAGAATAGGCATGGTTTCTAACTCTTTTTTTAAGTTTTGTTTGACATTGTTGGATTCATTTATTTATATTATCATTATCTATTTATGATTTTATAGTCTGATTTTATAGTATGTTGAATCACAAATAGTCTGTTTATCTTTAGCCATTTTCTCTGCGTGTCTCTTATGTCGACTGTGCTTCAGTCAAACTGCCTCCTTGGACTATAAGTTAAGATTTGACCGACCTTTCAAAGACCAACTCAGACAAGTGACGTCCCTTGTTCTTTTTCCTTAATTCTGTTTTATTTCTCTGCATTATTGGGCATTTTATTAGGCGTTTATTAAGAGTTTCTTTCAAATAAAACACAGTTGAACAAGCTAACTCTCCAACCACGAATAAATTAAGTCTGGGCCTCATCAAAGATCAGAGCAGAAAAACATCCTTAGTTGATGATCTAAAATATATTTTAAGATTTAACCCTAAGATCACAGCTGACCTACATAGATGTTTTGCTACTCACTTTCTCCCTGAAACTTTTTCTGTAATTTTAACTTCTCAGAGCAGCATTTCAACTTCACCCGAACACACACAGCCATATAATGATGAAATTGAGTTACCCAGAGTGCTCATCCCCATGTGTTGGTGGACCTCTGCTCTCATTAATGTCCCAACATTGCCATCCATCTACCTGTGCCAGTCTGTCTGATCCCATCCTGGCTTCTTTGCTCTGTCCAGGTGCTGTGCTATTTATAGGGACCTCAAAAACAGCATCAGTCAGTGCTCACAGTGACAGACGTGGACACACACACAAAGTCACACATGGAGACAGACACACACATCTCAGAAACTTCAACTGGTCCATTAAAGCGTATTTGTCTCATTTTTGAAGCACTACTAGGCTTCAAATGAGGCCTTCACTGCATGTGGATGTAAGAAAAAACCGGGGAGAGCAGACAGAGGGCCGTGAATGTAATATTATATTGCAATGTAATTGTGTGAAAGAGATGAGCAGCAGCATCAGAGAAGAGAGTGTTTTGTTTTCTCTCTCGCTATGTCAGGCAGCATCCTGAAGTGTTTCCGACTCTTCTTACTTTCGGCTGTTAGTGGCAATGATGAAAACACTCTGTAAGATCCCCAAACCACACACTGAGGTAGACCAACTCAGAGCCAGACGACTGTATTGTAATAGAAATGCCATAATGTCAGTGGATGCAAATGCTACAGTTATGAGCTTAGACAGTCTGTGTGCACAGTGTGCAGTTATGAGGCACACAGACCATTATTGGACCACGTTGTATGAAAAAAGAATGTGATCACCACACTGTCATGTCTGCTCTCATTTAATGGGAAGGATTTTGACACATTTTGGAAAACGTGGCTGCTAGGAAATATTCCCAAGTAGCCATTTAGAGCTCTTCTGACATTTTCGTCTGCAGAATGGAATAACAGTCCAGGGTCTGTGTTATACAATAGTCTATGCAATAGTTTTTTTTTTATTAAATATGTTTCTGCTTTATTTATTTATATGAACCTTTGCTTATCCTCTATAAGGAATGATATTAAGAAGCTAGTTAGCTAGATAAGGAAAAAAATGAAAAGACCTATGGAATGTTAAACAGTAAATATTAAAATGAGTGTTGTTATGGTTTAAAATCACAACATTTTCCTAAACTTCTTCGTAACATTTAGAAACACCCTAAAGCGTTGGTGCCCAATAGCTAGATCAGGACTTATTAGATCATAAAGAGAGTGCTGGTAAATCCTGAGTAATTAAATAAAGTAAATAAAATGTCTGCAGAAGTGACCATATATGGTAAGAACGAATGATGTGAACGAGTGAAAATCAGTGTATTTTACTCAGAGGCAGGTGACTGAGAATGTATCGTTTATCATATCATATGGTGACTTCTGTTTACATAATTTACATTGTTTGGGACATCTGGTAATTGCAAGTACTCACGTGGATCAAACGTCACTGAACATCATCAACCAATAGCGTGTTCCCAATCAACAACAGCCCCACCCTCTCCCCGTTTCCCATCCCTCCTCCTCCTCCTCTGTCTCTGGAACTCAGTGACTCTCATTGCCGAACTTAGTGGCACTGAATGAGCAGTAACTGGTACTAGTCGTGCACCGGTCTGTGTTTAACGAGCTCCAGAGGTTGAAACCCACTGACGGACATCACGATGGCCGAAAAGCGCCTGGAGACTATCTCTGCCCGGGTGGACGCTGTTGCCTCATCACCTGGTAGGAAACATGCTGTGAACTGCTGCACGTTTCTTAAGCTCACTGTTTAATGAGTCAGTTGAATTGCATGGCAAATGCACGTCCGTGCATGAAAGCTTCAATTTAACATTGATTCGCTTTTTGTTACAAAAAATAAATATTTTTTTTTGTGGTAGTAGGAGTGCTCTTAAATTCGTCTTGTAATTGATGCGTAGAAAACATCGAACTTTGAAGTGTTCACACTGACATGTACTACTTTTAGCTATATGAAGCTGCAAACAATTGATGTGTTATCACTGTCGTTATTTTTATGTTTTGCTTATTTATGGAAAAAGAAAATACTTGTTTTGTGCGTACAAAAATATGGACTAAATAAGTACTTTGAAAATATCCACTTTATATATATTCCAAAAACTATTTGATTTATTATTGAGAGTTCTGTTACAGTCCTCATCCATTTACACTGTCACACGTGTTCTTAATTAAATCACTGTTAAATTGATTACTGGGCAACCAACATATGTTATAATTTTGCATTTTATTGCATTTATTGCTTTCTTTGTGCATGCATTTGCTATGTTAAGCCATTGTAGTAGTATGTCCTGACTTTTGCCTTCTCCTGAAAGGAAAATTCTTGATATTTCATATAAATTGCTGCAACCGGCAGTGTTATTCTAATTTCCTTGTTTCCCCTGCTCTTTAATTCCTTTGAAGTATTGCGTATCCTGTTAGGTTTATTTTGGCTTGTTTAGAAAAGACTTGCTCCAGTTTTACATTTAATAAATACTGAATAAAAACATTTTGATTTATTCAGTACAGTGTGTATTTCCCCCATTTTTTATTTATTCTTTGCTTGGTAGATGTGTGGTAAACTGCTCTTCTATTACCCTGGCTTGAGTAATAAAATGGATATCTAATGTAATCTGATGTTTCTAAACTATGGGAATTATTACATTTCAAGCTTAACGCAAATGTTTTATTCATTTTATTGCAGTTTCTGAAGATGTTACCCCCATGAATGGCTTATTTTGTGCTGTGATGAATGGGAAATGTCAGACACTGATGAAACAGTTGGAAGAATCACCTTTTTTGAATTTGACCTAAATTGACAATAATGTGTTGGACCACATTCAGGTATTGTTTTGTCCAAACTCTCTGATTTGTTATGTATGTTAGTGTCAGTGTTCATCGTTGTGATGCTTATCATTTGTATATAGTGTGTTTTGCACTAGGAATGTCTATCAACACAGACATGGCGCTGAAAAGTTTCAGGCTGAGTTGTTCAAATCCCAGAAGAAACTTGCTCTCCGTCTTCCTTGCTGTGTAATTGGCTCTCTTGGCTAATTGCCTCATTATTCAGGTAGCTTAAATTCTGCTTGGCCTCTAGGGGGCCAGTCCAGGGGGCTCGGGCTGTGTGCAACGTTAGTCTCTGACTTGCCCAGCTCAGGTTTTGCTTCATTATCGTGTTAAGATATGAGTAAATTCTCTTATACTATATTTATTTTTTTATTTTCTTAACTTTTGCCTCATGTAGCACATCATTTACTCTCCAACACTTTCTTAAACCACTACTAGGATTTTATACAGGGAGGTAGCCCACTCGTGGTCCCTCTCCAGGGAGATTTTATATCTTAATGATCGCCCAGGAAAATGCTACAGCCATCCAGCCGTGAGCTGATTCTCCCAGGAGTTACGTATTAGCTGCACTCATTGTTTGCATCAGTAACAGGAGCTTGAAGCATTCTCTGCTCACGTTTACAACTTCTGTCAGTGGCTGCCGATGGCTTCCCTAGACATTTTCCTCCCTTTTTTTCCCTTCTGTATATTTCAGATTCACATGGAAGATATGTGAAAAGCCTTCCCCGAAGGATTATTATTCTGAGGGAGCTGACGTGCTGAGCAGATGGCGTACAGTCAAGAAGGCCTTTGTTTTATCACGTTTACACGTGATACTAAATACTGCATTGTTTCACATTTGTCTAGTCAGCAATATTGTGCATAAACATATAAAACACTGAAAACTTTTTTATAAAAAGGGGCTAAACTATATCTGTGACATTTTCTGGAGTTGGGATTTTCTTCTCACCTTCACAGCTGCTTTAAATATTTTTTTAATACAATGATCTCCTGAGATTTTTAAACACAACTGTCTGGAGGGTTGGGAGGTGCTGAAAAAGAGAAACTGAAACATACGCTTGTTTAAATTCCCTCCACAAATCTAACCTTGAGGCAGCAGAGTACTGTGTTAGTCTCCTTCTGAGCACTGAATACCAAGGTAACTCACTGTGTTCTGTCTTCAACTGGTTGAAAAATGATAGCATTGTGATGCAGCTTTAAATCTGCAGTTTTGTCCCATAAGTGATGGTCAGGGTTGGGCTCAAGAAGGTCGAGTCAAAGTCAAATCTGCATATGCATGACCAAACAGACCCCATGAACACAGAGTGATTACTTGAATAATCAATAGTTGGGAAGTTGGTCCTGTCAAGATTTGCTGTTGGACATACAGAGCTGTGTACTTGATTGTTGAGGCAAGCAAGCACAGCGGTCCGTTTGCATCATTTATTGAAGTTCCAACTGAGTCATTAATATCTCAGCATGGGGCGGAGGTGGCAGCGGTGGTGATAAGGGCGTCATGGTGTCACATACACAGTGTGACACAGTCTTTTTTGTTGGCTACAGTTTTAAACTGAGGATAAGAGCCAGTTTAATGACATTTTATTTTTAGTTGTTTTGAATGTCTTGCATATGCAGGACGCGGGTATTTATGAGTGATGTAGACCAGTGTTGAGCATTTGTGTCATCAAAACATGATTTGCACTCAGTGTTTGTGCATGTTTTTTTCAATATCTGTCAGAGTCTGGTTCTAAGATCAGAGTGAAGCAAAGGTACAGGCTGAGAAATCTGCTCCAAATCTGTCAGACAGCTGAGCGCTGTTTTTCTGGCTTTCCACAGGGAAGTCTGAAAGACTGCGTACAGGTGTGTATGGCCTGAGTTTTTCTAACCAAATACTATATTTAGTATTCATAAACCATTTAAAGTATAATGTGTAAAATATATTTAAATTCAAATCTGTTTCATGTATATATTATATGAAAATGCTTTACTTTAAGTTGTCTGTTTCTCAAATCTCCCACTCAGTTGATCATCGAGGGTTATGGGATATACTGTATTTTCCAAGCTTTTATTTTTCTATAAATAGCTTTTCATTGGAACAGTTGGATTTAGTGCACAGTTGGATCCAGTAGATCAGACCACCCAATTGGTGTAGAAAATGATAGTAAGTGTGCCTCCTTCTGTAGTTTATTCTGAAGATGAAGACATCCACCTGGTCTGTTTGTTTCTACCTGTCGACGAAGAAGCCACTCTTTGGCCAAACTGGTATTAATTGCAGCACAAATTTGCCAGCTTGTCCCCAACAGATTTTGTTTGCTTTGGATCAAGTGGTAGTTTTTTCCCTCTTAAAACCCTGGCGGGGGGGAGCATATGCTTGCATGAACCATCTGCCTTGGGAGTCAGGCCAGGAGAAGAACAAGGGAAGGAGATGTGGCAAGGAAAGGAGGGTAAGATGAGGAAAGAGGGCACAGAGAGAAGGATGGTAGGACAGCATTGAGTGAACACAGGGTGACTGCCTGTGATGGAGAGGGGATGCATTTGACATGCATTTGATGTACTGTGTCACAATGACAAGTAGTTCACTTTCCTTTCCTATTCCAAAAAGAAAAAAAGCGGGCAGTGGTGGCTTAGTGGTTAAGGACTTGGGTCCGGAAGGTTTCACGTTCGAGTCCACCAGTTGCCAAGTTACTACTGAGGTGCTCTGAGCATGGCACCGTCCCCACACACTGCTCCCCTTAAAGCTGCCCACTGTTCACTTTGGTGATGGGTTAAAAGCAGAGGTCACATTTGGTTGTGTGCAGTGGTGTGCTGTGTCACAATGACAAGAAGTTCACTTTCCTTGACAACACCGGCTCAACGGTGTGGCCACATTTGACCATATAGTTCACCACAAGGTGTTTGTTTACGAATACAACTTAAAACTGAAATAAGCCGACTTTGTAATTCATGAATCATTGTGTAATTGTAGTCACTGTATTTATTCTTTGATGGTATGGCAGTGTTGTGAAGGCACAAGGGATGCACCGATATCTTTACCAGTAACGGTATCAGATCCAACATTTCAGTCAAGAATTGGTAACCTTACTCGAGCTCTGATGTCTTGTCACCACAACCAGCTGTGCACTGATCAGTATTGTGTGATTTCCTCCTTGCAATGTGCAATGTCCTGTTTTTCTTATTGGTAGTTTATTTAAAGTAGGTCAACAATGTCAGCAGTTTGTAGGAATTTTACCATCAGGGACAAAGACATTAACAAGACTCACAGACTTACAAACACCTGCAGGTGCACCTTAGCGCTGAAGTCTTCTAAGTCTTCTCATTGTAGTGTCACAGTAGATAAAATTGTGAAAAAATTGTTGATTTTTTTTTAAAGCCACTGCACTCTCATATAAATCCCAAATATGCAGGCCCCCAATTCTTGTTATGATCATTGGCACTTGTTGTCTTTACAGATATTGACCAAATTGCTTTCACACAGATCTCTATGGCGAGATGTATTTGATGAGTACAACTAATGGCTCTAAAGAGAAATTTGTGCTGATTCCAGGGGACACGAGATGAAATGGTGTCATCGTGGCACATTGTGCAGACCATATGTGGAGGCAGGCCTGACTTGAGTGGCCAACTGGAGTGTCCCTCCATCTGTCCTCTTGCCAGTCCCACTCAGCAGATCCAAATGTCTATTCTGGGCTTTTATCCCTGCAAAGGTCCATGTCCTGTGTATCATAGCCAGCACCTATTATGTTATAGACCTATTATAGACTATTATATATCAAGAACAACAACAGCCAGGAAAATATCTCTAATTCCGACTCAAATGAATGGATAAAGATTATGTACAGTAATCAATGCCAGCCTGATTACTGTGAGTGTGTCAACGTGAATTCTCTGTATTATAGGCAATTATA